CCCGAGCCGCCGCGGGCCGCGCCTGGGGCCCGAGAGGGCCCGGCTGGCGGCGGGGAGGGGTTGGGAGGAACGGGGCTTCCCGGCCCTCGCGGGGCAGAGGCGGGAGCAGCCGCCGCCGCCGCTCCGGGCGCGGGGCCCGCGGGCAGAGGCTCCCGCCCCGCAACCCGCTCCTTCCGGGCGCGGGGCAAAACGGTAACCGCCGCTCGCCCCCCGTCCGCCGCGGAGCGGGAAGAGCGGCGCCTAACYGCGTGGGAGCGCTCCCAAAAGCGGGAAACGTCCGCCCTGGAATAGGAAGCGCCGGTGACTGCGTGGGGCCGCAGCTGCCTGTTGATCCCTTAGAACTTGTGGTACCAAGACAAATAACCCGGAGAGGAATCGGTAGCATCTGCTTTTCACATTAAGGCTCCTGTGAAGGGAATACCAGAGGCAGATGAGCAGGAGCTTTTTATTTTTTTCTCCAAATATCAAACCTGTAGAGATTATCATAACCACACTCTTTTATTTTCTAGAAGATTATTTAATGATTTTGATGACTGTGGTTATTCTTACTGAGAGGCCTTTCTTCAGTAAGAAAACAACACAATGTTTGAATAATGCATTTTTATTAAGGAGATGGTGTTAAAGGAACATCATTTGTTTAAAAAAACTATTATAATTTTACGTTGCAGGAAAAARAGGGCAAGCTAATGATATACCTTTAGTCATACTCCTGTGCTTTTAAAAATATTATTGCGTCAGTTGGTATGAGCAATATGGGGACACTGGGTTGCATTTAGTAGTTTCAGAGGCACCATCGGCCTTTTGAAGCATTGAGCTGTCATGTCTTCCAGGTGGAGTAAATTTCTGCTCCTGCTGCTTGTTAAGTAGTCTTTAAAAAGCTTTGGAACTTGATACTATCAAGCTAATCTCGTTTGAAACTGATCCTGTTGTCTGGATTCTGGTTGGAGGCACTTCTTGTGAAGGCTCTAGTGAGAAGTTAAAAAAAAAAAGTTTATAGAGTTTATAGTGGGTTTAAAAAAATGAATTTTGGATTATAGTAGTTGTCTGTTATTTAGTTCAGGAGTAGAACATAGTGGTAGCCGTGCTGGATGCAACAGTCTTTAGCTTGCTTTTCTGATTTGTTTTTAGGTGAAATTAAGGTTGCTGCTAAAGGCCTTATGAAAATATATGAAACACAAAGCAGTGTTTTTAGGCTTATAAGTTGCCTAGTTATGACAAAATTGTTTCCCAGGAATCTTTGCCAGCAAGGTTTAAAAATACATATATTTATACATACTCCCATAAAGGCTGTAGAATCTAAAGGATCTAAAACTATATAGAAGAAACAAGTCAAAATGTTAGTAATCAAACCTATGTGGTCTCTGGGTAGGAAGTTTAGATTTCCAGTTTTATTTTTTCTAATATCCSCATCCTTAGGAATTCCGTGTGTTTTTATACCTGTGGCAGATCGGTGTCGGTTTACACCTGTGTCTGACCGGCGGGGTAGCTGCTGGCAGCTCGCGTGGTGTCGGTAACCCGGCCTTTCCCGGCAGGTGTTTTCTGCGCGCGCTGCCGCCACGATGAACTCCACGATGAGCGAGGAGCCYGACGCCCTCTCCGTCGTCAACCAGCTCCGCGACCTGGCGGCCGACCCGCTCAACAGACGGGCCATCGTTCAGGATCAGGGCTGCCTGCCCGGCCTCATCCTCTTCTTGGACCATCCTAACCCGCCGGTTGTCCATTCAGCTTTGCTGGTAAGCGCTCTGGAAGTAAATTTGGTATCTCTGTTGGGTGCTTCTAGAGAGGGTTCAGCGGAGGGCAACCAACATGATTAAGGGACTGGAGCATCTCGTATGTGGAGAGAATGAGTGAGTTGGGCCTCTTCTGGAGAAGAGAAGACTGAGAGGGCGTCTGATAACATGTATAAGTTCATGAAGGGGGAATGTAGCGAGGAAGGGGCTAAGCTCTTCTCAGTGGTGRCCAGTGACAGGACAAGGGGTAATGGGCGCAAACTGCAACACAGGCAGTTCCATCTGCATGTGAGGAAGAAGTTCTGTCCTGTGAGGGTGACAGAGCCCTGGCACAGGCTGCCCRGGGAGGTTGTGGAGTCTCCTTCTCTGGAGGTCTTCCAAACCTGCCTGGATGTGACCCTGTGCCCCGTGCTCTGGGTGTCCCKGCTGGAGCAGGAAGGTTGGACTAGATGATCTCTGGAGGTCCCTTCCAACCTTGAGCATTCTGTGATTCTATGATTCTGTGATTCTTGCTACTACCTTTAAGCAGGTAAAGGTTAAAACGTGATTCTATGTTAATACTCTCTATGCAGTTTTTTAAAACATTCATTTCAAAAACTATTTGAAACGTTATTCCTGGAGAATTCTTAGTTGTTTGAAGAGATTAAGCTACTTTTAAATCAATTACCTAATAGATTATTACCTATTAATTTATTTTTATACAACCATTTCACTTTTTACATGGAGGCAGTTAAGCCCTCTTAAATGTTTTTCTTAAAATCACAGTTATGGGGCTTGGCAACTGTATGCAGTCACTTGACTTTGATATGCTGAAAACATCAYAAAATCGTAGCGTAGTCTGTGTTGGAATGGGCCTCCAGAGATCTGGTCTGATCCCCTGCTCTTACAGGTCAGGRCTGTGTCCGGTGGACTCCTGAGCACTTTGAAGGCCTGAAGTTCCGTAATCTCTGTGGATAACCTGTTCCAAGTATCTCTTGTTTAGAAGGACATGTAAAAATCTTTTTTTTTTTTAATGAAATTTTAATTCCATTCTCCCAGTAAGATTTCAAGTTATTACACTTATTTTCTTGGTGTTCTTTTTTCACTTTTATGGCAGTATTGATTTCTCAACAATGTGGAACTAAAGCAGTAGCAAGGAGGTCGTCTTTTAAAACCACTTCACATTATTCTTTATACGCACAAGACTCATCAGAACGATAATTCTTTATTTTTTCTTTTGTTTTACTTTCACAGTAAGGATATTGGTGCATGGCTTTGCCTCAGGTTCTCTCATACTCTTTTTGGCTGAGGGAAAGAGATCTTGTAATCCAGGGTACCTGTTCCTTCTCCATGGTCGTTAGCCATTCTGTAATATTTTACTGGACCACAATGTTCTGAGTATTGTCTTTGTTGTTGCTGAAAGAGTTTCGAGCAGAGGTCTTTGGAGCACGTCACATTCCCTTCTTTCTTACTGCAGTTTCCTTAGATTGTGCTCTTAGAAAAGGATCTTGTCTGGTTGTCGTTGCCTTTTTCTTCCTTGTTTTTTTGGGCAGCTCTCTGCCTCCATGAGGCTAGGCTGTATATGGTATAAAAATTAAACCCTTATGAAAACGACCAACTTTGTTGGATAAATGATGGCAGATCCAGTTTGTGAGATTAAACGGTTCTGGGAATTACACAAGGCAGCTGGGGTCAGAACATCTGGTTGGGAAGGAATGGGAGGCAGATTTGTGTTACTCCTTTTAGTAACAACTTGTGTTTACACCAGATTAAGAATCAGGCTTTGGAGTAGTCCTCGTGGTATCCCAAATCCCAACTCCAGTCAGAAGTGCATCACTTTACTATGAAAATACGTTTGTCTGTCTTGTACTCAGGGTTGTCTTCATGAGTTTTTGAACCTCTTGGGTTATGGGTTGTTTTTTTTTTTTTAATTTATTTAACAACTGGTTCTTTTGGTGTTTTCTATTCTGCTAGGTGCATTTTGTTTGTTTGCTTTGTTCTGGTTTTGTGGTGTTTGTCTTTTGTTTTCTTGTAGCCATTCTATTGTTCAARAAGGTGCTCCCCCCTGAATGGGAATCATTAAAGTGCAGTGAGCTTCCACTGAGAAGTTTGTACCCAATAAAGGGATGTAAAGCATTATCTTAAATGATTTGCTTTAATGTTCTGTGCTGTAACATTATTTATTGTAGCATTCTGTGATTCCAGTAGCCAAATTCATAAGTTGTCTATGACTAGGTCATCTGAAGTCCCTGCTTAACTCTTCTTATTTGCTCTAGGATTCTTCAGGGAGGCTGTCTTCCTCCTCACATCCAGTTTCTGGTTCATTCTGATCAAAAAGTGGCATATTTGCTTCTCCAGTTTTGATTCACTGAGTCCTTTGTGATAGGCTCAAAATGTTAAAAGGCTTTGAATATTTTAAATGGATATCAGAAGTTAATCAGACAAATGTTTCTTAAAGCCGGACAAAGGTTTTCAAAAATAAGACCCTGCAATTTGGGAACTACTTGAGCGTTTCAGTTATAAGACATTAAAGATGTCATTTATCATTAAGATGCACAGCAGTATGTTTATATTTGAGTGTGGAGGTGCTCTTTTAAGTTACAATGTCAAATATAATTATTCTTATGAACTTAAAGCTAATGCAGGTATGTGTATTTGGTTAAAGAGAAGGTGAKCCAGATGCTATGAGAGTGATCTTTTTTGTCCTCACTAGACTTCAGTTCACAACTGGAAATAATCTGACTTTTTTCTAAAAGTTCAGACTAAATTTCCTAAATCTGTCCTGAGAGGGAGGAAAAAATAAGATCTTTTGAAGGTCTTATCAGGAATGCTGAGCAGTCTTGACATTTACATTGTTCAGAAAACCTTGGCCCTAGTTTAGTGAAAACCACATATATGTGTAAAAGATTTATAAATCACAAGTGGAAGAAAAAAATCCTCCTCTTTGTCACTCAGGATGCTGTTCAGAGTGGTGTGTAGTTTTTTGGGTTCTTTTGGTTTGTTTATTTCTTATTTTAGCTTTGTTCAAAAATTACCTTGTTATTAAATTGCCAGATTAGAGGCTAATAAAAATAAGACAAATGTCTTAGCTTGTTGAGAAAACTTTCTCTGCGTGGAACTAGTTCAATGCTCTTGATAATATCTGAGTACAAGCATATATGTTATTTGAGAAAATAAGTACGTAGAAGACRTTATAAACTGGAAGGATCGATACCGATCCTCATCTGGAAACAGCAATACACATAACTGGAGKTAGTGTCATTAAGTCAGATGGTAGCTAGACTTTCTCAAAGGGCAGTGAAATGGTTTTGAATTTCACGTAAAATGTGCTTGAGATGATTTAGGAAGAAAAACAGGTAATTAGTTTTCTATCTTTGAAGGGATTAAGGGTCTCCTTAAAGGATGCAGTGAGCAGCGTGCCTATCCTGGCATTGTTTAGGAGTGAGTGTACTTCTAAGCCCTAATACCACCAAACCTATTGCATAACCCATTGATTTTGTGTACTGTAGGTTTTGGACCTACATGATTGAAGTATAATGCAAAATACGCAGTTGGATGTTCCTTCTGCTCTAGGTGCCACATGCTCTAGGTGACCCTGCATGTGCAGGGAGATTGGACTAGATCATCTCTAAAGGTCCCTTCCAACCTTAACAAATCTGTSATCCTAAGAAAAGGCAAAAGTTTTGAAAATTTGTCCGTCTGCACTGARAATAAAGAGATATCTTATGAAAAGAAATGTTATCTGGAAGAGTGTTATGCTAGGAGGATCATGTGAATTTTGCAGTTAGACTTGATGGTCCTGAAGGTCTTCTCTCCATAATGATTCTAYGATTCTAATACACAGTTGCTGACTGGGGTCAGCAGTGTGAAGTTCTGCAGAAAAGGCTGCCTTGAAAGACAAATCAGTTGGTTGTCAAATAAGTGCAGTGCGAACCCAACCTCCCAGCTTGGTGTTACTTGAGAGATTAAAATGTTAGATGTAAAGTGCTTCTGAGCGTGTGCTTCTTTCACCGTCCTAGTCATGGCCAGGGTGTTGTGACTTTTTTGTTGCATGGTGTTTCCTAGGTAATTTAAAATAAATTTTAGTTCAGTTTGCTTTTGCATCTTAAGTTTAGGAGTTATGAAGAATGAGGTACATATTGCACTATGCAACTTTTTGAGGAAAAACTTAGGAAAAAGTCATGTGAGAAAATGCATTTTAAATATTTCAGCTTCTCAGTCTCTAGTTTTATTAACCTTCCTACCATCTTTCTGCCTTGATCTAGTTTTCCAAAAATAGTCCAGGAGTTTCTAATTTTGGGAGGTACYGAGCTCGCCCTTTTCATTATCAGATGTGGATTTTCTTTCCCTGTGGCCTCTGTTCCATGAGAGAGTATACTCAGAATATTCAGTGCAGTACTGCTTTAACCTTTCCCTGAAAGTGCACAGAATATCATTAATACAATTACAAGAGATGGGAAAGAGAATTTTGATTTGAAATATGTGGTTAGTCCAGACAATCTTCTTCTAGGGATGTCCATGCTTTTCCTAATAGTGAGGAAGTCTCTAGTGGCAGGTAATGACTGAGCTATCTATTTTTTTTTTTTAACAAAATCTTACGCATATAACTTGTTGCTTATATTTTTTCTTTCACTTGAATTTAGTGATGAATAATACAAGTGTTGTAGGTATTCTAAACTTTGTGAACTTTTTCACTKCCAATCCTTCTAATGTTTCAGTTAGTCTTTAACAGTTCCAGTAGCTCTCTGCTTCTGTGAGCAGTAGTGAGCTGTATGTGTGTTTCTGGTCCTGGAAGAGTCCATAGAATTGATAGAATTTATGCTAGAAGCATAGTGTATAAGGAATTATCTTAGATCACAGAAGTGCTGGTTGGAGGGAACTTTAGTCTGGTCACTTAGTCCAAGTGCCTGCTGAAAGTGATCAAGTCAGCAGTTCCTTGGTAAGCCTGGAAACTTTGGAGTTTCTGCAATAATGAAGCTAACAGGATTGCAGAACCTTGTTAGGTCATCTACTGTAGTGCTGCACGGCCCCCAGAGCAGAAAAAGTTCTTTCCTAATGTCTGTCCTGAACTTCCCAAGCTGTAATTTGTGGCTCTTCATCCTTGTTACATTTTCTATTGCTTTTTAGGAAAATTTGGCTTTGTGACCTTCATAAGGGCTTTTCAGGTAGCCGTAAGGAGCTGTTTAAACTTTTGGTGCATTTATGTGTATGTGTGAAATAGATTTAGCCTTAATGTTTACAGTAGATAATAATTTTAAGCTTTTTTACAGGAACTGACATTGTGAAAGTCTTTCAGGTGTGTGCTGATAGGGCTGATAAGAGCCTGGAAATGTGATGTCATTGCTGTGCTTGCCTTTTTTAGGCCCTGCGCTACTTGGCAGAGTGCCGCGCCAACAGAGAGAAGATGAAAAGCGAACTGGGTATGATGCTCAGCTTACAGAATGTAATGCAAAAGTAAGTGTGGGGTGATTGCATTCCTTTCTTCACAAAGTTCTGTGACTGTAAGTAATTAATAGTCTCATTTTATACAATATAGTAATTAAACCTAAACATGTAATAAATGTTCCTTTTAAAGGGGCATGCCTAGCAATGGGAAGTTATTGCCCTTGTTACACCTTTCCCTTTAGGTTCTCTTATTTTCCTCCTTGAATCAGGATGCCTTCAACTAAGTGGAGTTGGTCAGTCTGTCACCTTGGGTGTCTGTTCCCCTCTTTGGGGAGGGAATTGTTCATGTAACACAGTGTTTGCTCCTGCACCCAGCTTTAGTTCTGTGTTGGAGCGTGCCTTGCAGGTGGAGTAGGGATTAGTGAGGTTGGCAGTGGTGTAATTTCTGAGCGTGTTAAATATGATGCTATTTTTGTTGTGCAGTTTGATGAAACTTGAGTCTCGTATGGATACCTGCATRCTAGAGAGGATATGTCTGTGTGCTTACCAGTGAAAGCTCCTATGATGAAGCAAAATAGGTTGTTATTATTATTAGCAAAATATCTTTCAGCATCACTCTGTCCTGWATTTGCTGTTAGGTTGTCAGAAAGAAGGAAAATCTTTTCCAYGCTACAATAACACACTAGTTAGGTKGACTTTTCAGATGTAAAGGATGTACCTTATGGAAGAAGCTACTGCTGCAATGAAAAGCATTTCAGAAAAAAAARTKTWWAAMWYTTTTTTTTTTTTGAATAGCAGAAGTGAAATCCTGTATTAAAGAATAAAGATTTAAGAGCCTCAGTTCTTTTCCTGCCAAATATATAGTACTTGGGGTGAATTGTAACGTGTCATTACCAAGCCTGCAAAAGGACTTATATAAACTTACATTCTTTTATGTCAGTACAGTCAAGCATGTCAATGTTTATTGTAAAGAAAACATCTACCTGAGGATATATTTGGTCACTTTCTTCATCCTCCCCCGTTTTTTTTTTGTTCCCCCCCCTTTTTGGTGCGTGAGTGTCTTTTAAAAATGATAGTTCTGATCTAAAGGTTTGAACACGGAGGTCACATCTTCCTGGTCTAATAAACCCTACATGATAAAGAAAGAAATTAGAAGTCTGCTTACATGCTTCATTAGGTCCACCAGAACTAATAAGATTCTGTAGTGCCATGAAATTTAGCTATGTGTCTAAATATCATCTTGTTATCTATCAGTTATTCCAAACTCAGGGATTTAGAACAAGTGTTTTAGGTCAGAAGGTTAATTTTAATTGACTAAAATTCATAAGTAAACCATTCTGTCAAACTTCATGAATGTAATTTTTTTTTTTTAATGGCAATGTATGTTTGTCTTTTAATAGGTTATATGAAAGTAATGGAATTAAACCGTAGAGTGCTTGGCCTCCTCTTTTAGTAGGAAAGATAGTTCATCTRCAGTTCAAGAGTATAGGTGAAATGAGGTGTCATAAAGTTTTAATGAAACTGTAKCTTTCTAAATTCACCTGAACATTTWGGTGAAGATCTGAAATAGTGATATTTAACCTAAAAACAATTTGACCAAAAGCATTTAAAAGCTCAAATATCTAATCTGGAAATAAGATGAATTATGCACAAGGATACCTGAAATGTAGATAAGTTGTTGCTCACTAATAGCAAAAATAATAAATGTTTAGGCAACATCAAAAGCGTTTGTTTCATAAGAAGTTGCTTTCAGTGTAGATTATGTGCACAAACAGTTTGTTGGAATGGATGACTATTGTGCTATGCAGAAGAAATTACTGGACAGGGGATGCTAGGTTCATTATCAGCCTCTGTAATTTTTCAAATATTACTCAAGAATCAGTCATACTTGGAACTTCATATAAGAAAATTTTATAGAAGGTTCTTGGGTAARCAACATCTTTTCCATGCTTGAATTTTAAGGCTGTGGAGCTCAAACTTGCAGAAGAGAAGAGAGAGATCAGTWGAAATGCTGCTGGTGCTCGTAAATACACAACACGTTAAAACACAAGACTCTGTCATKTGCTTGTCAGGATTTTAGCCTTGAATGTTGACAGAAAATGCTGAAGCTAAGTTTTGAATTGCCTGGAGAAACATGGTAGAAAAGTGCTGAGAAGATGTATAAAAAAGCTTTTTTTCATCACAAATTGCTGTTTTCCTTGGAGAGAGAGGCTACAGAGGATAAAGGAAGGCCATGCATTTTCTGCAAGTTTGCTGTGCAGAATGGAGATTCTACCTTTTAATGTGACTTGAGTTTCCCAGAAAGAATGGTAGTCCCTTGATCTGAAACTGAACAGTAAATAATAAATGCAGAGGTTGTTGCTTTGATGTTCATGATTTCATTCTGGTGTTCTAGTGTTCGTGCCAGTAGCAGCATATCTAGCTGTTGTATCTGATCTAATACCTACCGAGGATTTCCATAGTTTAATTCAAGTTTTTAGAGGAAAGCTTTTGTGGAGTGTTGTAAAAATATGAACGAATCCTCAAATGGGATATGAACTGAGTATTCTGCTTTCCTATTTAATAATACTCGGTTCTTTCTCATGAGATTGAACCCATTAAGGGAGTTGCAGTCATTGATGTTTCAGTCCTCATGCGTACATCATGCCCCTGGTCTGAATCCTGCCTGTCGAGGCTTCTGTAACTTGGCATTTGCTTTCATTGGTTCCACTCTTCCTTTTCCTGTTCATTACTAAAATTTAGCAGACTGTTTTGTGTTGCTGATGAAACAATTTCATGCATTTAAACAGTGAAATGCGATTCATATGTGTAAAGGCTCATCRCAAACTGGATAATTGTCATATAGCTGATGTTTGGCAGCAGGGAACAAACGCATATTGTGCTTATGAAGTCAAGAGTTTGTTTAGAATTCCAGTTCTCTTCTGTTTACAGTTGTGCCCCTCATGAAATTTGAAGGGTTTTCTTCTCATCTTGGGTGGCTTATATTAAGCCTTAAATTTTGTATTAGAAATCTCAAGTATACAGGAGATAAATTTCTTGATGGATTTCTGTGACCTAAATGATCCTAAAAGCTTTTAAATCATTCATGTCACCAGCTGGAAAAGTCAGAGGTAGCCGCTAGGTATGCTTGATTTTCTGTAGCAGCTTGTGGGCACCTCAGACCCAGGCCAAGCACGTTTTTTTTTTTGTTTTGTTTTGTTTTTTGCAAGTACTGTGCAATCAATRGAAGGAAAATCCAGCCCTTATTTAAAAGAACATATTGTCTAAGTAAGTGCTTATCATAATGGTAAGGAAGTACTGCTCCCGTCCAAAGACTGGAAGGGATGAGGTTTAAAATTGATTGCCACTTGATAATTGAATAATAAAGAGTAAATGCTACCATCTGTATTCTGCCACAGAAAATGGGTAGGAAATACTATCTATGAGATATCCAAGTTTAACTTTAATTTTTCAGTCCCTTTGTGTCTCATTCATGAATTATCAGCCTCTTCATATTCTGTTTATTGTAAATATTATAGCTCAATTGTGAAAATCATCTTGTTGTTTAAAGTGATGGTTCTGCTGAGTGCCTATTTGATGCTGCTTTGCACCTGAGGGACCAGGGATGAAATTCAGGTTCACTGTGACAAGTTTTCAGCAGGTGAAATTGCTGGTCTTTGCTAACAGAAGAGTAATAAATTTTAGATTTTCAAAGGGAAGCTTATCAGTGTTAGAGCAGAAATATGAAGTGACATCTCTGAGGGCTACAGAATGGGAAGGTAAAGATGCCTTTTGAGGGATGGGAGGGAGTTGCAGACCAAGCTTGATTCAGAGTATGTAAGACTCTGAGATGCTTCCTTCATATGAAAGATTTCATTCACTTCTGCATTTCATGGGACATCTGAGAAGCTGTTTGGGTTTCATGGAATACTTTGGAAAAATAAATTAATATAAACATGTATCTTGCTGCCTTCTGTGCAGAATCTTTCTGTGCCATAGAAGATTTCTTATGGTTCATCTTCTGTTTATTATTTTCAAGTGAGGCTCAATGCATCTTTTCAGTGTAATAAGCTAGGAGTAATAAGCAAGTTGGAATGAAATCAGCGCTTTAAAATCAGTAGCTGCCCATTCCCAGGTTTTTCCTCTGTCCTGCTTCCTTTGGTGTGTCCCAGCAGGTGAGGTCAGGTAGGCCCTGCCTCCTAAACCTATGTTACCTTAATGATACTATAACTGTTAAATGAAGCCTAGAATTAATATGCAAACTGAAATGCTGATACTTCTACTATCTTGATGCCTAAAAACATGATTACTGTCACAGGCAGGTTTCTGCTGCTGCCTTGCCAGGGACTGAGCCTGTGTGTTGGTGTAAATGGATCCAAAAGGAGAGAAGCTGAGGCCCCGAGTAGATGCAGTGTTTCGGTGTATTCTGGCAGCCATTTACTGTTTAAAAACTGACTTAGTTGCTGGCTTTATGAGTTGTGTGGAGGACTTAATGTGCCCGTATGGACTTTATAAAAGGTTATTAGCAGCTTCTAGAATTAAAATTAATCAGCATTTATGGCCTACAAGGAAATGCACTAATTTGGGTTCYGAGTGAAAGGGACTCTTTGTGGGCAGGAAAGGTCAAAGTTCATATTTTTTTCATAATCTTTGTGAGCATCATAATGGTACTCTTTAAATATAACTAASATGCGTTTAAAAAAACTGAGGAATCAATATCCTAAATGGCTCTTATTATGGAACAGCAAATTAGTGAGAGTAAAATATCAATTACTTAGCTAAAAGAGCTATTCAAGATAGTCTTCCTTTGCCAGGGTGTCAGATTTAACAAGCTGAACTAAATCCAGTGCATTAATCAGCTCTTCCAATTTATTACTTGCCTAAGAAGATTAGGGCAATTAATGTGTTTAATTAGAGTCCCTTGCAGATCTGGTAAAATACATGCAGGCTGTAATTGCTGGCTTCTTACTCAATTTTAATTTTGGGTAGTCTTAATTACTTCATAGTTTTTGAAAATCCAATTATTTGTTGAAATTGGCAAAGTTTAGCTTGATGATGTTGGAAGAACGTCAAGGTACCTCAGGTAGTAT